AGAACTGAATTTTTTAAAACAAAATGGCCGCCAGTCGGCCATTTCAAACCCGATCTCCCCCCAAAAAATGACGTGCATCAAGGTCCTATTATGTTTAATGTATGTACCAAATTTGAACAAAATCCGTCCATGCATAACTGAGATCCGGGTCCGGAATGGTGAAAATGTGCGATTTTGATGCATTTTCGGCCTTAAAATGGCCGCTATTCGGCTATCGTTAATCGGATCATGAAAACAATGCATGTGCATATGTCCCATATAATGTGTGATGTATGAGTGAAGTTTGAACTTAATCGGTCCATGCATGTTCGAGATGCAGGTGATCACGGACGCACGCACGGACGCACACAGGGCAAAACATAAGTCCCCGTTTTCGAACTACGTCCGAACGGGGACTAATAAACTGATATTAGCATGTTGTTCAGCATATGAAATAGGTCAAGTGTAACCAGAAACAGAAAAAAAAAGAAAAAGATTTTTCAACCCACTTCACAGCGACTTAATAAATATACTACCTGAAGACACTGCATTAATCAAGTTTTTTAACTGTTTAAATCGAAACGATAAGAAGTTAACTTCTCAGTTGTGTCAAGTGATGATGACACTGACTTACCAAATACAGTTTCTGCTTTGCCAGTTCCAGATTCGAATTGTCTGGTCATCAGAAGCACTCAGTATCCAAGGGTATTCCTAAAAAAAAAAAAGAAAAATCAATCAGTTTAATTTGAACAACAGAAAAGCTAAGTAACTGATTATGTGATTAACGATTGTGCCAACAGAACCACATCCAAAGAGTTTTACTTAAAGGCTCATTCTTATTCACATACAGTAAAAAGATTGGCAATTGTGAAATGAAAGTAACAAATTTATCCATTCCTGTCTTTAATAATGATATGAGATTATTACGAGGATACAGTACACCGGGAGTATCGACCGACGTGCAGTGGAGGTCGATGCGACAGTGTACTGTGTGAGTGCATACTTTGAGGTATCTTCGTAATAACCTTATTATACATCTTTTCCTACCAAGGATACACCACAGGAATGTCGAAATCCAAAAAGTTTAGAATAGAATCAGCAAACTTCTTTGTGCGGAGTGCAATCAAACCCTGGTGGCAGCCATGTTTGTTTTTATTATTAGAGGACGCTGACGCGCGTAATCATTCCATATTTGGAATTTGTATTTTCTAATATGGTAGGATGAAAATACTGCAAAATTACGATACGATGACAGATGTATAATAATTATTATTCATATTATAATTTGAATAACCTTCAATTCACAGACAATTTGGGCCTAAAGAGGAACTTTCAGACTGCTTTGATTTGCTCTCCCAAGTCATACATGTATAACAATTCAGCATTATAATTAGCATATCATTTGAATAAGGCTCCCCAAGTCACTGTCCATAGAGAACTGAATCATAACTTATAGACTGCTTTAATTAGCATACATTTGAATAAGCCCCCCCAACTCTCTGAACAGTAACAACGTACTTACATGATGAAAATAAGTAGTTCTAATATAATCTAAATGTCCAAGTAAGGTAAAGAGACATCTTCGTAGTTTGTAGTTCCAGACTTTTATCTTGTAGTCATCACCACCAGAGACAAACAATGGCTGTTGGTTGTGAAAACAAATACCACGTACTGGACCTGTTGGTGAAAAGCAAAACATTGATGGATGATGCGCCTGTACGATGATGATCCCATTTACGGGGACGAGCAGCATCACAGAAGCCTCTATGTTGCTATAACGCGCACCACTGTATTTCAACAGACTCTCCACAAGCTGTTGTGGAACAGTCTGGTTCAGAGGGAAAATTGAAAGAAAAAAAAATTCAAATTTGTTTTGGCAACATTTCTGTGATTTTAACAATATACATCAAATCCTGTGAAATAGATGATTTTCTGTACAATTCAAGATCATGCGTAAATCATGAAAGACGTTAATCAAACGTCTATATCAAAATCATCAAATTGCCTACCTTTCAAAATATTGTATTTAGATATCTTTACTTCATAAAAACTGACCATTATGTGTATAAGCACATTATTAAGCAGGGAAATGCCTGAAAAAGGTTTTGAGTTTCTCGAATCCCACGTTATGTTTTGACGCCTCTATAACCATTGTCTGTCCTGTTTTCACTTCTGATTTCACACAGAAATCATGATATCTCAGTGAAAGTGGCCTATTACTTACCATCATGCTCATCAAATTTGTCTAATAGAGTACACATACGATAATCCCACAGTTGAATAATTCCATTATGTAAACTAGTTAATATCCACGGTCTTTTTGGATGAAACGACAATCCTATAAAAAAGGTAAGAAGGCAATAAAGACAAGCGTACGTTTTACGACCAAAATCCAAATATCGTATTTGCTCTAATAGCAGACGTGTTCCTATGGTCCAAATAAGTAATATTTTAATGATTTAGTAAATAATACGTTATTTTTTACTTATTCAAATTTTGATCAATCACAGAATTGTTCTTTTGTCCATTTTTTCTTCTCGCACCAATGATTCAATGCTAATTCAGGCAATTATTAATGAGAGCAAACACTGTTGAGGGATGGTATGCAGTATTAAAAACGATGGAAAAATAAAAAACCCGATTATCTAGAAAACTGACATACACAATGATTATTTGTGTTCGCTATGAATAATATGTGAACTTTTAGATTTATGAGTGAATATTCTAGAACATCGATCAACCAATTCTATACATAAGGTTAGAACTGCCATGTTTTCTTCGGCACGAGTTGATCTGCCATGGCGTCTTTTAACCCTTTGCACACCATAGATACTTTGTTGCAACAATGTTGCAGGCCCATTACTAATTTGCATATTTGTACTCCCATTACCCAAACTTTTTACTATTCAGTGTGAGCCAGGTAGTGACATGTACACAGGGAAAGAGACTAGACACTGTAGTTTCATTTCATT